CTGATCTTAAAGGAAGAATTTATATCATAATATTTCTCGCTATAACTATAACGTACCGTGGTCGGTCAGTGTGTGATGTATGCAATGATATGAATTTCCTCTACAATCGTATCCCGCAAGTTAAACTGAAAAAAGGAAAATAAAATAAAATTTCCTCCGCTCTATAACTGGACACTGCATGTTTCTTGATTAACCTTTCTTTTACGACCAAAGAAATCTAAAATTCAGAAATCGCTCCTTCAAGTGGGTGTGTCGCCGTCAACAGCAATAAATGATTCACTGACTCTTAGTCGATGGAATGCAGTATTTAGAGGTGTGCCTTGTTTACTTAAATCTGATTAATTTTTTTTTTTTGGCACGGATACTCGATATATTCATTAAAAATGTTAATTTGGCAGGTCAACTTTAAATTCCGAAAGCGGAAAATCATGGTGGAATCCACCGCGAGTTTGCTTCTCCCTTTGGTGATCGAGTATCTTCTGCATGAAATAGCCGGCCAGCAGTGTAGTACGCTTGGCATCAGTGGAATAGCTGGCTGCCAGTGCAATCTAATGGAGGCCTGTGACGAAGATGGAAAACCAAAGTCCACCTGGGCTCAATACTTGCCAGCCGGTGTAGATCAGTTCGGGTTTGTCGATGGAGGACACCAAAACTTGGCGTACCTCTGTGAAGTTAATGCAGTTGCAATTCTCTATGACTGCAACAACCGAATTCCTCTCTTCGCGGCCACGGTAATTACAGGCGCCCAATTATTAGGACGTGACTTCGGGCGTCGACCGCCCGCTAATTTTAGAAGAAGCAGCTTGGCATGGCTCGATCTAAAATTTCAGCAAGTAGGTGAAGATTACTTTCGAGCAAAAAACCGAGATCTTTGCTATGCAACGAGGAGAGGAGACAGGTACCTCGTTGACAAAGACTGGGTTATTTCAAGTGGACACAAAAGCCGTTTCCGTACTCAAGACTGTCCTGGAGGATCGTTGGTCAAAACGATAATACACCGCGGGCACTTGATTGCCTCACAGTACGGCCGTAAAAATCAAACAAAGAAAACAGCAACTTTCACTTACACCAATGCTGTCCCTCAGTTTGGATTGTTTAACTCCCATCCTTGGCAAGTCTGTGAGGGACGCTTGCTAATGTGGGGAACTCAGAATTGTGCGGAAGTAAAAGGAGCAAAGAAGGTTCAATTATTCATTGTGGTTGGCGCCATGCCATCGACAGTATTTAGTCCTCTTAAACATCGATATTTTGGCTATAAAGGATTCAGCGACTACATGGACAATGTTTACCGGGTGAATGTGCCAAAACACATGTGGACTGCTGCTTGCTGTAGGTACAAAGCTAAGCGAGTCTGGAAGTATCACAGCACGGCCTTCAAGAGGGAAAATAATCCGGGAATGGAACCATGTGTTACGTCAGATATTGGCACGTTATCGAAATGGTTGTTCCAATCAGTAAGAGGTGGGACTTGTGTAAATTTATTTCCGAAGACTCCCCAGTGCAATGAGAAGGATAACTTTATTCCTTTATGGTGATGCAAAAACTGGACACTGCTATTTTAGATAAGAAGGACGTTAGGAGAGCGACGCTTTCGTGATCATTACTCATGTAATGGGACTTTAAACACCTGAAGCCTTGTAATCACAGTGTTATTTCTGTTCACGGAGAAAAGTTCCCTTTAAAACTAACTTCGTAAACTCGATATTTTGAAAAACCATTTTCGTTGTTAATTTTCGACCTCTTGTTATGTATGTATATTAGCTAGTAACCGCACAGTCGCATAATCGTATATCTGCAGAGAACATAAGACAGCGTGACATACTGTGCGACAACTGCAACAACCTCCTCTCATTAGTTAGGTTCTTTTTGCGAGTATCGTTATTCGTCAGGTGACCTGATCATTTTTAGTGCATGTAGGTTTGGTAAGACTTCTTAAATTTACTGAATTCAGTAATCTCTGTGATTTTATAAAACAGGACTTGCGAGTCTAATCCTTATCTCTGACATCTCTGGCCGATTCAGTTTAGTGGCAACTGCGTCCAATAGGAGGCGAGGCCTCATATGTCGTCGAAACGAGTGAGTGATGCTAACAATAGAATTGCGATCTTGACCCAATTTTGACCCGATGTTTCCCGGTGATACTTATTGTTTGTTTCGAAGTATCTTAGTACTTCGATATTCGCACTCGATACACAATTGAGTTCTCTCCTTCTGTAATTTCTGGCTTATAGCCACTGACACGTTGTAGTATCAGTTCTTGTCGTGACACTACAAACACCTCAAAATAATTTCTCAGTCGCGTCTTCGGCACGTTGAAGACAAGACTCCATGCGGAAATATATGAATAAGTGTGATATGCACATCGTGGAAACTTTGAAGAAAAATGTTGTTTAATTCGAAGGGAGAGTATTTTATCATTTGAATTAGCGACTAGTGCCCAAAAGAGCCGCTATATTTGAGAAGCGAGCAAGGTCCGAAGTTTAACAGGGTGACCCTATTCGACGGAATGATGGAACGGTGGAATGGTGAAGTACCTCGTTTTATGAAACATAAGTCTCACAAAAATGAAATTGCAATGAAAAAGGAAAATAATTTATAATCAACAGGCAAAATCAAAAGAAGCATGATTTAATCATTATTGGAGCCTTGAGGATAGACCGACAAAAAAAACAGTGAGGTTTCTTGAGCTAGCCCCCTATTAATTATCATCACTGTTACCGTTATCATCATTGTTGTTGATATGATTATAAATATATGTTATTTGCCGGCTGGGAGGTCCGTATGGTGAAAAACTGTGACCGAGGTCTTGAAAATGCTGCCCGAGGCCACAGTTTTTCACCATACGGACCTACCCTTAGCCGGTAAATAACATATATTTTTTTAAACTTAACGAAATACACTCTGAAAGAACCCGAATGATTTACGGCTATAAATACGGCAAGATCTTCCATAAACTGAACGAATTTGAGCAAGTAAATGGTAGTTAAAGTAGAGGTGATACAAATTAAAGAGAGATGCTTCACTGAAACATTTTCACTTGTGTAATGATAAAGGTGATTTAAAAGGCTTCCAAACAAAGTTTGAAACATTATTTTTACAAGTATCTGTCACACTCTGACACCAGTCAATTAGAGAGCGCGTAAGAAAAAAAAGCGCAAGAAGATTTGAAAAACAACGGAACTAGTTTGGCAAGGTCTGTCACGACAATGTTTTCTTAAAAAACAGTCAATGATCTAACGGAAAGTATTATTCACTCTCATCGACGATTCATTCACGTACGAAGATTTACCTCTGTTCATTGGGTAAACGGCCAGGAAAGTAATTGTGAGTAAATTCAAATTTTTTATTTTGAAGTTGTGAGAATTTGCTCGTTTGTTTGCTGCAACGGCGTGTGTAAATCTGGTCTTTCCTCCACAAAAACTAAATTCGAACGGCACACTCCAACGAGACACAAGGGGATTTAATGCGGCTTTTTCTCAATAAATTCCTTCAGTTTCTGTTGTGCAATTTATGGTCCAAATGTCCAAATTGAACGGACTTGGAAAGACTCACTGAGAGCGTATATTTATTGTCGAACTGAAATTAAAACTTCGCTCGCTCTTTCACTACAAACAAATTGTTCGAGAAAATTCAGATATTAAATGAATGAAAGTTCCATTGTTCAGTTTACCTGTAACCAAATACCTCACGTTTTAACTTTCTAGGTACTTTTTGTGAATGATTAAATCAATTGCAGATGGTTTTTAGGCCGCTTGTCAACCAACGCAATGACACTATTGCTTATATAAATTCATTCTGAAACCAACATTTTTTTGTCAACCAAAGTGATTTGATAGAGAGAAAAGAGAGGATTCATAAGTCGGCTTAAGGTAGTGGCCGATGTGTTTGCTTAAAAATACTGCCCAGCCGGCAAAATGAGGTATATTTATGAAAAATGGCAACGAAAGTTGGAATGTACTCGGCGACTCACAAAAGCGTTACCGTGGCCCGTGGGCAGAGATAGGAAAATACTGACCGGGTAAAGAACCAATCAGATTGCAGGATTCGTTACCGTGCCCTCTAAAAATAAAAAAATAATATACGATTATTTGCTTTTTGCTTTCACTGAATGCTCTGTCACGCTGCCACCTCTGCCCCCAGTATAATCGAGCGTAGCGTGACAAACTCACGAGAGAGCTTCGTGCTTCGTTCACTAGTCACGACAACTTCGCCACGTTTGTATCTGTGAATTACCGCCATGAGCTTTTTAAGGCGACTGATTCCACGTTCGAAAGTTGATATTAAAGACAAATTTGTTTTAATTACGGGTTGCGATTCCGGTTTCGGTCAAGAGACAGCCGTTCGACTGGATAAGATGGGGGCTTGTGTGTTGGCGACTTGTTTAACGAAAGAAGGTGAACAAAGTTTGAAATCTGTGGCGAGCGATAGATTGAAAACTTTCCAGATGGATGTGACTAGTTCGCAACAAATTAGGGAGGTCTACGAAGAAGTTGAAAGATATATTCCTTATAACACAGGTAAGCTTGCTCTTCAAACCAATGTACCAGTTTAATGCGGTTGAAGGCCCGGGAAGTGTTCGTGAAAACCAAGTACTAATAGGATAAAATCACTAAATTTCCTTAAAAATTATTTATTTCGATCACAGTTGTGAAATGAAGGACTTCTCGTGTTTTCATGGATGTGCCACAGCATAAAGAGTTGCAAATTGATGCAAATATATACATCAGATGGATGAATTCGATCGTGAAAAACAAATGTTTGAATGCTTGAAGCGACGTAAAATATGATTATCGCGCGTTTGTATTCCTAGAATCCCTGCATCACGTCCCGATAATTTACTCTATTAATAAATCTTAGCAGAATTAAAAAGGTGAAAAGATACATTTACTTAAAATGGTCAGTATCTTGAATGTACCAACTGCCACTATCAAATGATATTTGTGAAGAGCACGAATCCAACATTACACGTAACGTTGGGCGCTTGATTGATCGAAGTAAGTTTAATTAGAAAATGATCACCGAGTGCTCACGCTTGATGTAAATTTCCTAAATCCATAGATATAAGCGAGAATTGACGAATAAAATGAGCCACATCGTAGTATAAAGTGATTCTAATAACCCATTCGTGTGCTCAGCGAAATAGCGTGACGCGACCGGATATTTGATACGATTCTTGTGACGTAGAAAAACAGGCGACGCGTGACAAAAAATTGAAAGCTGGGGTGTGGGGAGGGGGGTGCACTGCAGGACAACTAAATCCGAGTTGTAAATTAAGTTAAACGTAAATTTCCTTACCAAGCTGAACATTTACTCAGTGTTGTTTCAGGCAATTTCACCATGACGAAAATTTCCTTCAATCTCATTTCCACCTTTTTGCATAAGAGTGTGTGAAAATGGTAATGTATCCCCACTAATTTTTCTTCTTAGAGGGCTGAGATAATAATGTTTGTTTGTTGGACCTGCGCAAAGTAGTGCTGACTTAAAAGAGTCACCAAACGGTCTCTGTATTATCTTTCTTGTTTCTCTATCGCTAGGATTGTGGGGCCTCGTAAATAATGCTGGAATCGCCTATCTTGGTCCCATCGAATGGACACCGCTGGAACATTTTAAACGCACCGCCGATGTTAATCTTTGGGGGACGATTGACGTCACTAAAACTTTTCTACCGCTGGTGAAAAGAGCCCAGGGACGAGTTGTAAATTTCTCAAGCGTTCTCGGTAAGTCGGGTGGGAGATCTAGGGGAAACACCCCACTTCCCTATTCCCACATCCCTACCGTTCTTGCTGCTCCAAAACCAAGGTATCGAAATACTTTAATATGTGAGTAAACATTTTCGGGAACGGATCCTCTCCAGGTCTGCGTTTGACAAGTGGCACGAGTAAACTATCAGCAGCTCTCTGAATGTAATGATGTATCTCGTTTCTGGTTTGCTTCCAGGTGTGTAAATCTGCGTGGCAATCGTTCTATTTTAACTTTCCAACGTTCCTTTCGCTAGTGCATCATTTCCAACAATTGACTTAAAACTAAAGTTAATAATCGGACTCTTTGTCCATCCACTCAACAGGTCGAGTATCCCTTACACTACTAGGATCTTACGCAGTAACAAAGTACGGTGTGCAAGCATTTTCAGACGCTCTCAGACGAGAGATGAATCCTTGGGGAATAAAAGTTAGCATTGTGGAACCCGGTGGATTCCGTACTGAAATTACTAGAGCACACTTAGTACAGAGACAGCTCCAAGAAGGCTGGAATGGATTGAATGATGAACTAAAACAAGAGTATATGGAAAAAGGTAACAATAGCATCTATTGCAGAACTGCAGTGGTACAAAATCTCCAGCCTTCTTCTCCTACTGCATGCATATGAAAAAGTAAATAGGAGGCGCACGTCAGTAGAAATAGAGATTAACTACTAACTGGGTTAAGACCTTCCATACTACCGAATCAAGAAAGAGTATCTCTACATCTATGAATAGAGGTGCTGAGTTAAAGGGAGTTTAAAGGGGCTCTTTGAGACAATTTTATGTGAGTTTATTCATTTCAGTCGCGGTAGTATGCACAGAACAGAACAGCATCATCATGAAAATTAGATTTAAAAAAAACACATTTCAAATAGAGATTTCGTACGCTTTTACATCACATCTGAACTTCATCCAGCTCGCCTACGGACCCAGCCATAGGGAAGGGTCTAAAATTTTAGCGACCGGGTCTGTCAAGGGAGCTACACTCCATAGACTGGGGAAAGTTAAGCATCACTTGACCACACCGATAAGAGATGTCCAGCTCTGAGAAGCAGGTCTTAAAACTATTAGACTGATCCTTTAATCTTTCAGCTGAAAGCACTTTTACGGTTAAAAAAAGATGAAACGTTGAATTATGAAATATAGATTTGCCTACCACTGTTCTTCTTTTAGGTATTAAATTGTTTCTTCCAATGCGACCTTCACCTCATACCTATAAAATTGTCGACGGCGTTGTCGAAGCTTTGACGTCAGAGTCACCACGTGACCGATACTTGATTGGTTTGGACACCCCGGTTTACGCGTGGTTGGCAAGGTTACCAGCTGTTTACGGAGATGTCATAATCAAGCTTTTATCTATTACGCTTCCACTGCCACCGAAAATTACAAAAAAATTAAAGCTGTAAAATAAGTGAGCAGTGAACTGAGCGGCAATCAACGCTCTTTCTTGATATTTTGAACTGAATTTGAAGCATCGAAAGGCTCGGAACTGGAAAATAAAATCAAATACTCAAAGAGTCACTGAAAAGCTCGTTATCCTCAGTTGCGAGATTGCCAAATTGCAAGTTCTTGTCAATCACCTACGTTCACGACAATCCACGATGTGAAAACGGTTCCCGAATTTAGTTCTATGGTTAGTCACAGAAGCTTATAACCTGTAGGTCATAAGCTTCTGCCTGTAACCATTAGCGTTTGTATCTGCAATTGCAAGGCTAAGTATGCTTACACGTTTTTACTCTCAACATCTTTGCCATACTTCTTTTTCAAAGTCAGGAATTCACGAACAACTTTTTCTATTAAGCCATCATAAATTGATGCTCCGGTGTTCAAATGGTGCTTTCAAGATATTTCTGACTTCTCGTTGTCATTTTCATTTAGTGGTTTTGATCTGCACTTTAGGAGTACGACTGTATTTTAACCCTTTAACTCCCAAGATTTCATTAGTAATTCTCCTCACTGCCTGCCATACAATTTATGTGATGTTGGTTTGGAGAATTTGGAATTGGATCAACCACTAATCCCCTAATTGATATTTTTCTTTATTCTCATTACTTGTCTGCTTGAGATCAAACTGATAATGTAAGGAGAAATTCTGTCGAGGTCACTAGTGGGATTTAAAGTGTTAACAAAATATAGCTCTTTGTGTTGATCAATTTATTGCCTGGGTCAGCTGGGTAACAAAGTTTTTTACCTTTTAACCGGGAGTAAGGCTCTTATCAAGTATGGAAATTGAATTTATATTTCCATCCACAAGGCTTGAAGACTGTCAAATATTATAATTGTTTGTTTGTGTGAGTGTGATGTCTGTATAGTTTGTGTATATAGACCATATGATACCTGTACCTCTGCTATAAAAGTTTAATTAATAATAACTTAATCCAGCTCCCTGTCATTTCTAGCTGAATAGTTACTCTAGTTGGTTGGTATCCTCTGATTATCATTATTAATCATCAATTGTTACATATTGTTAAAAGTTGATGTAGGGTACAATAAAGTTATTGTTGTTGTTAGTGCAAGGAGCACTTGCCACTGAAAGGACAGGCACCCAGCTAACAAATCAAAACTATTTTGATCCCAGACAAGGTATAAATTGGAGGCAAAGGGAAGAATCTATTTCTGACTACATGAGGTTTACTTGCTGGTGACTTCGAATAGATCGCATGAGTGTTTGAGGCAGTAAAAACAACCAAGTTTCTGTAAATAGCTTGTAAAGTTGAGTAAGTATCTGAGTAAAGGGTTAGAGTTTCAGAGAACAAGGATGGCTCAGTGGTGATAGCACTTGCCCCCCACCACTGCAGCCTGGTTTCAATTCCTGGACCTGGCATCACATGTGGGTTGAGTTTATCATTGCTTCTTGTCCAAAGGTCTTTTCTCAGGGTCCTTCCGTTTTCCTCCCTCCACAAATATCAACACTCCAAATTCCAATTTGACCTGGAAACAGTGGACAAAAAGACCCACCTACTGAAGTGGCCTTTGCTAAATCCCATTTTTAAAATTATTAAATTAAGAGTACCTACACAATAAATATTATTATGAAACATTACACTCACTATGAAAAATCTGATTGGTCAAGAACATGGAATAAATATACAATAGCCTGTGAAATTGACATGAAAACCCAATCTCTGAAGTGGATATTACAATGATTGTTATCCTAGCCCCTCATCCATGTAGTGCTCTTGCACCTTCAGCTTAAGCAGATACCTCACACCCACATTTTGATATTCTTGATATCATGCTCAACCTCATCCAATAATTGCTTATTGCAATCTGGCTATTTGATTACCACCTAATTTTTTATTGTGACCAGAATATTCTAGGCCCAAATACCCCTAAGGATACAGGGTAACTATACTGACTTGTTTGGTTTACTGTCACTTTTCCTTAATATTTTGATAATTTGCCCATGCATGCAATGAATGCACTTTGCAATCTTAAAATTTTGAGACTTGGTAATATTTTAAAGACTGAAAACATTGCTTTTAGACACATAAAATGAAGAATTATGAAAGTTACTGAGTCAGGGATTCTTGCTCAAGGAGAAGGAAAAGAAAAAAAAAGGTAATACTATGCAGCAAACCTGAATTTCTAAAAAAGTACAAAGGCACTAGATTTGTTACATCTGCATTTAAATTCTTTGAAGCAAAATGTGGGAATCTCATTAAGTACATCTGACCCACTAGTTCAAAGGGTGGATAATATATTATCTACTGGGATATTATCTACTGGGTAAATCACTGTCCAGTTGATAGTGCAGTATTTTTGTGAACACTTATCCACTTGATGGCAATTTATAATTATTTTATATACGTTATGTGCCCTTGAACAACTGGACACTGCATGAACTTTAAAGTTAACTTCAAGTTCATAGAGTCTCCCATGTATAAAGCTCTCAAACCACAATGTCAAACAGCTTTCATTGAGCACTCAAAACTATAGCTATTTAAGCCTTGCTGGTTCAGGGTGACCAGCATATACTAGGGAGCATTTTAAGTTTGTTCTGCAATCTGCCTCAATATAATTAAGTGGAACATTTTGCAAGGTAGAAACTGAACTCATAAGGATGAATTATTATACCCATGAAATTGTTGGAACACACAGAGAAACTTTGGTTCTGCAGAATTATGCTCATAGTGCATAACCCCTGACAAAACCCTTCATTTATTTAGTCAATAGGAATGTTACCATTTAAATCAAGACTTGAAGGAAAAACCTCCAAGTTTCTATTAAAATTATGAAAGTGTTTTGTGTTATTAAGATTTGTTTAGAAAAATTGGAAATTAAGAACCAAATGTAAAAAACTGTAACAAGCATTATCAATAAAGCCTGCAATGCTGACTATAATATCAACATGGCAACAACTGCTTCAAAGGCATCTACACAACTTTGCATGATCAACGTATTTAATAATTTTTGCTTTGTGATGTAACTTTGTTGGGTTGCTTTTAAAAAAATTGAAAAGCTATGTACCTGGTCGTGTTTATTATCATTATTATTACCATTTTAAACATTTATTTTAAATATAAAGTTTTCCAGACTGGCTACACGTCTACGCATGAGCAAATATTGAGGTCAACAGATACCCGTATGTTTGGAAAGTCTCAATGTGAGCGAGTGAAAAAACTGTTCGACTTATGAAAGAAAGTACTATAATGTGCCTCTCAATTTGATGCTAATCAGTCCAAAATCCCGAGAATTACATAAGATTTCTGACAGTAAGGTATCATATGGAATTACTGAAACGTCTTTGAATTTATGTAGTGGAACAGTGCTGATTTGTTGAGCAAATTGAGCCCCAGTGTCTCTCCTTACACTGAACAAGTACACAGCGTAAAACTTTGCAGACGTATGTAGAGAGTAAACCTAAAAGGGCAGTGGAGGGTTATCTTGAGGTAAACTTACTTGAGAAGAAAAGCTTTGAGCATTAGCCATAATAGGGCGCAAAAACAGTGCATATAGGACTGATAAGGCAATTAAAACGCGCAAGATATTCTAGAGGACTTTCATATTTGACCTACACCTTTAGAGGGATGTGTGATTTATTTTAGTTCGTGCAGATAAACAGACTAGTTATTTGATCTTACCATTTAATCCCGTTCATGAAAAACTGTTGGACTTTCTTATATGAGAAAGGCCTAGTCTGCTGGACTCAAAATCAGATGGTGCTATTCCATCATGTAAGAACTGAGTGAATATGAAGGAAAACAGTATCCACACGCAAAATTTAAATCTCACTGCAGTTTAATCACTCAACCACATCTTACAGGCATGCTCAAAAAAGTAAGACCAATTATTCACCTCAACAAGCAATGAGAAAATCATGAGCGCACTATTTCATAGTAAAAAGGAAAAAGCTGTGTACTAATCTCAGGTTTCTTCACTATAAGTAAAAGTTCATCGTTTTTCAGAATTTGGTTTTAACATGAGTAAAATTAAACACTTCAGAGAACAAAGGACACACACTAGTTGTCTACGCGGCCAAAATCTTGCGCGCTTCTCGCACACACGTTATGGCGATCGACACTTGATCTTTAACAAGTTGCCAGTTGTTGGTCTTGTCGATGTCGAACAAGGCATCGGTGATTCCTGGGAAGCTAGAACTACCATAGATGTTGTGCATCTGAGGCGCAAACAGCACGTGGCGAACTCGTGTCCTTCCCGGAAGTCCGAATGGCCAAATGAAAGCGCGCTCCATGTTCATCATCTGATCATTAAGAATACGCAGTTGGGTGAAGTCCTTGATATCACTAGCGTTAGCCTTTCTTTGCTCGAAGACGTCTGCAGTTTTTGAAAACTCTGCTACCTCACGAGCCAGGTAATTAAGAGTTATATTTCCCTTCAAGAGTTCAGATTTATGGACTGTTTCCAAGGTATCAAGGTTACGTTTCAGAGCTATTTTGTAGTCCGTGAGATTGTAAGGAAATAAGGGAGTGTCAGCAGCCGCGAGCAGAATTCTTGCACCTATTTGAGACATCGCCAAGTGAGTGGTGAAATGTGGATCGTTGAAGGTTTTTTGCCAGTAGAATGTGTCATGAACTGTGTGATAAACAGGATATAGGGTCCTGTTCATGCTCCTAAATCTGTAACTCATGTCAATACTTGATACTCCAATGAAATGACTGAAAGGTGCATAATCAGATCCAGAGCCTAGACCTCCGAATTGAGGTTTTCCAGGAGATGAGGAAGGATATTTCTTTGACCAGCGATCATAAACACTTGCGCTCTTTTCCCGCTCATTGGGATCCTTCACAGATGCAGTTTCTCGATAAACAAGTGACTTTAAGGAAGGATTCCCATTTGCTCCAAAGCTGTAGTTTCCTTTCACCGCAGAGTCAACATTCAGATACATGACTGCTTTGTCTCTTAGCATGTTTCTGTTTTCTTCCACCCATTCATATGAACCGATTAGACCATATTCCTCAGCGCCCCAACTGCAAAGCTTGATCGTTCTCCTAGGCCGCCAGTCAGTTTCGTTCAGTAGTTTTCCCAAGCCGCGCGACACTTCCATCATAACCGCTGACCCACTTGAAGGATCCACTCCGCCAAACACCCAAGCGTCTCGGTGATTTCCCATAAGCACCCAACGATCGGGCTCTTCTTTTCCAAGGATCGTACCAATGACGTTATACGCAGGCAACGTAACGAACTGGTTGTTCACCTCCAGTCTCACTTTCAAGTCTTTATCTGGGGAGCCTGGGCCAAACTTATAGACGATGCCTAGGCCACCTGCCCAGCTTGAGGTACTGGTTGACCTTGGTGA